GGCGCTGTATGAGCCGCGGCCCCTGGGAGGAGGAAAAGAAGGTTGTTACGACGCACGAGCTTGGCTTTGAGGGCGAGGACTGGGACTACGTGCTGGAGCGGCGGCGCACGGAGGTGAAGGACGTGCTGGCCGTCGAGACGGCGCGGGCGTTGGGGCTCGGGCGTGAGGACGTGCTGGAGGTGGAGGTCGACGCAGTGCCTCGGGGCCTCATTGCGTTTGTCACGGTCCGTCATCCATCACTGCTGAGCGACCGCCAGGTGGAAGAGACGCTGGCGCGCTGCGAGTACAAGAATTTGTGGGCGCTGTACGAGACGCGGCCATTGGAGTCGTCAGTGCTGATGAGGCGGTTTGAGGGCGACGACTGGGACCTCGTGGTTGACAACAACCGCAAGAAGCTTGAGGACGCGTTCAGCAGGGAGACGGCCGCCGCACTGGGCGTGTCGCCGAGCCAGGTTGTGCTTCTGGACTGCAGGGTTGGCAGTCTTCTTATGGTATTCAAGGTGCTTGGATGCGCCATGAGCGACGCAGAGATCACGGAACGGACCGAGGCGCACCCGTACGACGAGGTGCATGCACTGTACAGGCCACGCATACGCTCCTTTGAAGGCGTCGACGCAGCAGCGCCCCGCGGCTTCAGGGCCGACGCGGATGAAGTATGGACGAGGAGCCGCGTGGAGTTTGAGGGCGAGGACTGGGACTACGTGCTGGCGATGAGGGAGGCGGATCTGCTGCGTGCGTTTTCGAACGCGACGGCCGAGGCGTTTGGAGTGGATGAGGACCACGTGCGCGATGTGTCGGCGAGGTACGTTGCTGGTAACTTGCACTTTGACTTCGAGCTGAGGCGCCCTGCGGCGCTGACGAAGGCTGATGTAAATGCGCGGTTGAAGGAGTGTGCGTATGCGGCCGTGTGGGCGCTGTATGAGCCGCGGCCCCTGGAGGAGGAAAAGAAGGTTGTTACGACGCACGAGCTTGGCTTTGAGGGCGAGGACTGGGACTACGTGCTGGAGCGGCGGCGCACGGAGGTGAAGGACGTGCTGGCCGTCGAGACGGCGCGGGCGTTGGGGCTCGGGCGTGAGGACGTGCTGGAGGTGGAGGTCGACGCAGTGCCTCGGGGCCTCATTGCGTTTGTCACGGTCCGTCATCCATCACTGCTGAGCGACCGCCAGGTGGAAGAGACGCTGGCGCGCTGCGAGTACAAGAATTTGTGGGCGCTGTACGAGACGCGGCCATTGGAGTCGTCAGTGCTGATGAGGCGGTTTGAGGGCGACGACTGGGACCTCGTGGTTGACAACAACCGCAGGAAGCTTGAGGACGCGTTCAGCAGGGAGACGGCCGCCGCACTGGGCGTGTCGCCGAGCCAGGTTGTGCTTCTGGACTGCAAGGTTGGCAGTCTTCTTATGGTATTCAAGGTGCTTGGATGCGCCATGAGCGACGCAGAGATCACGGAACGGACCGAGGCGCACCCGTACGACGAGGTGCATGCACTGTACAGGCCACGCATACGCTCCTTTGAAGGCGTCGACGCAGCAGCGCCCCGCGGCTTCAGGGCCGACGCGGATGAAGTATGGACGAGGAGCCGCGTGGAGTTTGAGGGCGAGGACTGGGACTACGTGCTGGCGATGAGGGAGGCGGATCTGCTGCGTGCGTTTTCGAACGCGACGGCCGAGGCGTTTGGAGTGGATGAGGACCACGTGCGCGATGTGTCGGCGAGGTACGTTGCTGGTAACTTGCACTTTGACTTCGAGCTGAGGCGCCCTGCGGCGCTGACGAAGGCTGATGTAAATGCGCGGTTGAAGGAGTGTGCGTATGCGGCCGTGTGGGCGCTGTATGAGCCGCGGCCCTGGAGGAGGAAAAGAAGGTTGTTACGACGCACGAGCTTGGCTTTGAGGGCGAGGACTGGGACTACGTGCTGGAGCGGCGGCGCACGGAGGTGAAGGACGTGCTGGCCGTCGAGACGGCGCGGGCGTTGGGGCTCGGGCGTGAGGACGTGCTGGAGGTGGAGGTCGACGCAGTGCCTCGGGGCCTCATTGCGTTTGTCACGGTCCGTCATCCATCACTGCTGAGCGACCGCCAGGTGGAAGAGACGCTGGCGCGCTGCGAGTACAAGAATTTGTGGGCGCTGTACGAGACGCGGCCATTGGAGTCGTCAGGTGCCGTAAGACCCAGGTTGATTGTTGCGGAAGAGGTTGAGGCGGAGTTGGATTCGATAACGTTTTTGCGTAATGCTCTTCGTCGTGCTAGAAGGGAGCGTGACGAGTATTTGGCTTTGCTTGATCCGTTACTTGGTTTGCGTGGCGAGCGGCAGAGAATTCTTGATTCGCTTGATGCCGGTTAGTGTGTAGACTTTTCTGTTGTGGTTATATATATATATATATTTCTTGTTGCCGTTGTTGTTGGGGCTGGAGGATGTGGGGAATATTCGTGTGTGTGTTTTTGTCTTGGGTGTCGATGTATGACTTATGCGGGGACCCTCGTTAGCTGTTATGAGGCCGATGTATGTGTTGATGTGTCTGGGCGGGTGAAATTGTAAAGCGGAGGGGAGGGATGCTGAATTGGGGCGGTGGGTACCCACACAGTCACATGTAATGAGAATGGGTTTATATTTTTATATTTATGTGTTTGTTTGTGTTTGTCCGCATTGTTTTTCTTACAAAGAACTCTTTTTTTTTTTTTAATACCATGCTATATTGTGCGCATCCGTGTGTGTGGCTGCTTTTCATGTATTTCAATGGTGTGCCACTGTGGATGTTTGTGTGGGCCTGTTCTTTTTTTTTTTTTTCTTTTCTCTCTTTCTCCCCTTATATATATATATATATATCCGTGTTTAATATTTATCATTCTTCGTGTGTTCATTGGGGACAAAAATGGCCGCGTTTTTTTTTTTTTTTTTTTTTTACTTACACGGAGACATGTAGATGCATATCCCCTCCTGCTCTCTCTCTCTCTCTCTCTCCTTTATGATGTATGCATTTTGGGGAGAGAGGAGGAAGAAGGAAGGAATGAGGAGGGATGGCCGTAGCGCCTCATTTATTTTGATTCTTCTTTTCTTTTTTTTTTTTTTTTTTTTGCAATCTCCTGCAGGAACAAAAAGGAAAAACAAAAACAAACAAACAAAAGGAGTGCATGACGGCATGTGTATGTTATGCATGCGTGTAAGAATGGACGAGGGTGCAGAGTGTGTGTGTGTGTCGGGGGGATGAGGAGTCTGTTGTTATGTGAAGTTTAACTGAAGCGGTCTCTTCTTTTCTTCTTTTTTTTTTTTTATTTATTTCTTTCCATCTTTGTGAAAAATGTCTGGTGCACGCACGATCACAACTTTGATCCCCCACCTCGGGCAGAAGCGTCAGCGAAGCATAAAACGACATTACAACAGTAAAAGCATAAAACAAAAAAAAAAAGAGAAAGAGAAAGAAAGAAAGAAAAGGAAAGGAAAAAAAAGAACAACAACAACAAAAAGGAAGGCAATTGGTAAGACATATATATATATATATATATATACTGGAGAAAAAAAAAAAGAGGGATGGCGGCTGCAAAGACGGAATTGGCAATGGAGTTAAATGATGTTGTCTGCTTTGAGCGCCTGTGCGCCGACCGGGAGTGGCGGAACACACTCGGGAAGGTGATTGGTTTCCCCACGTCAACACATGTACGTGTGGAACTCTTTGAGCGCGCGGAGCAGACCAACCACTCCGTGTCTATCGTGGATGAAAAACTGCAGGAGATGGCCACAGACACCGGCAAGTTGGCCGTGTGGGAGGAAAAGCTGGAGTTGGACCACCAGCTCCAGCAGGCGGTGGAGGAGGAAGACAAGGCATCAGAGAAACTTTTCAAGTTGCGGGATACCACGCAGCAACGACAGTCAAAGGCGTCAGCCCGCGTACGCGAGACGATGGAGGCGCTCGATGAGGCTCGTAAAGCCATGACCCGTGTCCCACCACGTCAGTGGCGTGACGTGCGAGCTCCGGGTCGTCCGACGGAGTCTCTCGTGTCCATCTGCCGTGCCGTCATGCTGGCGCTGCAGGAGGACCGCGTCAAGAGCTGGGATGGGATGCAGGCCGTTATGCGACAACAAAACTTCACGGAGCGACTGATGCACCTGGACTGCACCGTCACACCACTGCCACTCGCACGTAGGAAGAAGATTGTGGCGGAACTCGGCGTGTTTCGACGCGAATTACACGGCGGCAACAGCGGCGGAGAAATTGGGCGCCGCGAACCCTCAAAACTGAATCGTCAGCCTTCCGCCGCGCATGCGACCCAAATTGAGATGGCTATGCGAGATTGGTTACTGGCCCAGGTCGCCTGTTCGGAGGCACGTGAGGCGGAGGAGCACGTTGTGGATGATTCCTTTTTGGAGTATCAGGAACAAACCAATCTTGTGCGTGAGGTTAATAGCATGCGTGAAAACATCTCCACGCTCAAAGAAAAAATTCTGGAGAAGAAGCTTGCCATCTGCGGCGACACACCACTTGCCGCACTACTAATAAAGGATGCCGAAGCCTCCAAGGACACCATGTTCTTCAAGTGCATGTCGAATGGTCGTCATGTCACGGAGATGCTTTTGCGCAGCAGCGTGTTGGTTGTCTTTGGGGCCAAAATGGAAGAACAGCTGGAGGATGACGAGAATGCCTTATTTTTGTCTCTTACTCCGGAAGAGGTTATGCAGCTACGGGATGCCGCGCGAGCAGCAAACGAAGTGCACGACCTGGAGGAGATTGAGGCTCTGTACGCTTTGAGCGTGCGTGAGGAGGAAGAGATGCAGGAGTTGAAGACACGCATGGAGGAGTTACGCCATAAGGAGAACTTCACTGAGGACGACGAGGAGGAGATGCGACAGCTCGATGCCGCTCTCACTGATGTGGTGCGGCGCCATGAGACGACGCAGTGGCGTATTCGCCACCTCCGGGCTTTAGGCCGCGACAAACGCTTCCTGAAGGTCCGTGATGTGCAGGATGATATGGTGTACTCGGAGCTGAACCTCGCCTTTTCGGGTGACAAGTGGGGAGTACTTCTTGCGAATACAGAGTATCTCATGATGGTGGAGACGGCCCTTTGCAACGATCTCTCTTATGCCCTTGGGCTGCCACCTGGGAACATGAGTAACTTCCGTTTTGCCATTAAGTCGCTCTTGGTGAAACTCACCGTAAAGCACAGCAGGGACGTGACGGCCGAGCAGCTGCAGGCTCTTGCCAATGAGTCGGAATTCTTAGGACTCCGCGGTTTATACGAACGTATCACGTTCAGAAAGTCATACCCGCTCAACACGCCGTCGCAGCGGCTGGAGTACGAAGAGGTGTTGCGTATGCAGCGTATTAAGGAGAACTTTGCAGGGGCGGGACTGCCGGAGAAACTGGAGGACTTTGCCGATGACAGTGAAGGTGAAACCGACGATGAGAACTACCGACGCCCAGTCGTGGAGATTGCAACGGTGCGCTACGAGTACGGTCTTGAGGCGCGATACGGCTACCCGACTCTGGCACACGTGGGTGTCCCTGCCGGGTTTGAGGCTTTGTTCGAAGAGGGTAGGACACAACTGAGGGCAGCCATGTATCCAGAAGAGGAGGAGGAAGCGGCAGAGGCGGTGGAGGATGCGGCCGTCGAGGATGCAGAAGAGAAGCTGGACATTGTCGAGAAGGAGCCCACGGCGGAAGAGCCTTTGAGAAACACGGAGGCCGAAGCAACCGCAGTGGAGGCTGAGGATGTGCACGCCGTTCATACCGATCACGTCGATGCCGCTGACCATTTCGAGCACGCCGAACACGCTGACCATGCCGAGCACGCCGAACACAGTGAGCACGCCGAACACGCTGACCATGCCGAGCACACCGAACACACTGAGCACGCAGAACACACCGAACACAGTGAGCATGTCGATTCTGTCGGGAGCGCCGAAGGTTTCTTGGAACCCAAGGAGACGCTAGAAGCGCCGAAGGATGGAGAAAAGAGGGATCCGGACAGCCAGGACAAAGAGACACACGAGCTGTAGCTTTTATGATGGAGATCCCTCTACGTGTTTATGTGGCATGTATATGTATGCATTTATGGTGGCCCTGTGCGGCTCACTGCTTCTTTTCGGTCCAGCCACCTTTTTGGGTGCCCGTCGGACGGCCATGAGGAATAGAGAACATGGGGAGGAACAAGAGTCGAAACAGAAGCAATCAGAATTTATGTATTTGGGGACAAGCAATTGAGAGGAAAACAAACCAAACCAAACCAAAAAAAAAAAAAAAAAAATAAAACAAAGTAAGAGGTATAAAAGAAGGTTAGAAATTAACGGACTGTGATGTTGATGAAATATGTATTTTTCCATTGTGAATTTGACCTTGTTTCCGTCACCCGCTGAGTTGCTGTCTGCATTTCATGAAGACAGTTTACTTTCCCCCCCATTTCCCCCCCATTTCCTTCCCCACCAGACGAAACAACAACAACAACAACAACAACAAAAAAGAAGCAATAATAAAATTAAGTTGACAACCGCGCGTGGGGAATATGTGGGGAGGGACTCAAAAGGGAGAGAGGAGGAAGATACATGCATATAAGTGAATGAGAAGAGGGAGGGGGTGAGGGAGGGAGATGAACGAAGAACATGAGAGTGAAGCTATGATGTACCCAAAGAAGAAGAAGAAGAAGAAGAAGCAAAAAAAAAAAAAAAAAAAAGAAAAACTATTTTAATCCAGTTGATAACGATTTTCTTTTTTTTTTTTTTTTTTGTTTGTTTATGATACCCGTGTGGTTTTTTTTTTTTTTTTAATTTATTTACTTTCAAGAGACGTGCCTCCAACAGCGCGACACGCAAACGTTATTTGCTTTCCCGTTAACACTGTAGTGAGAAAAAAGAAAAACAAAAAAAGAAAAAAAAAGAAAAGGAAGGAGGGGTTTGTAGGGGGAAAGGGGGAAGGAAATATTAGTATTCCTGTATGTCATTCTAGGTAAATAAATAAATAAATATATATATATATTTATGTGCCTGTTGTTGTCGTTCTTAATTTACAGGACCCGCGTGTGTGTGTGTGTGTGTGTGTGTGTGTTTGAGTGTGTGTATGAGTACTTGTGCATTCTTTTTTTTTTCTCTTGTTGTATTGGCATTTTTGCTGACCTTTTCTTTTTGTATTGGATACGCGTGAATGTGCCAAACTCTCGTTAGCTTCCGTTCCTCCACCGCAGCAAAACGGTCAAATAGGATACATCTCGGTAGATTGTCATCAGTTTGTTGGCTGCAGGGAGGCATATTAGGAAGTGTGTGTGAGTGTGCGTCTCTTTCTTCTGGGAGTGACGAGCGCTCAGCACGGATTTTATCTGTACGCATCAAACGGAAACAGAGAGGCAAAACATAGAGGATGTTTAGGAGGGGGTGGGGGCTGCTTGCTGCAAGCCACACTACACGTCGCGTTACGATCACAGCGCTGTGGTGCGCCAAACGGAAGTACGGTCGGATGTGGGAGCCCACTTGCGGAACACGCAGGAGGACGACGGTGACTTTTTCAAAAATGTGGCGTTGCCGTGACCGCGTTGCGGTGTGTGCGTGGGTGCGTTTGGCGAGTAGTACTTCTGGCGGTAGCAGTGGCAGCAAAGACATTGATGTTGTTGACGAGACAAAACCCATCCACATCCGTGTTGCGGAGGAGAAGGACTCGCAGATTTTCACCATGCAGGATTATATTGAGCGTGAGGAGGCGGAACTGAATGCGTCTAGGTCCCTTGGCCAGAGGCTTTCCGACGCGCGCGACAACCCTGTTTGGATGTTGTGGGCGCTGTTTTTTCTCTCACTCGGTGTGATGACTGTTGTTGTCTCCATTCGAGTGCGGCGCGAGCAGATGCGCTTCGACCCCAAGTTGAGGGCTGTGAAGGCCTTTGACAGTCCCGATGGACCGAGCATTGGTGGCCCCTTCTCGCTTGTCGGCGTGGACGGCCGTCGTTACACGGAGAAGGATTTCCTTGGCAAGTGGTTGTACATCTACTTTGGCTTTACCAACTGCCCAGATGTCTGCCCGGAGGAGATGGCAAAGATGAGCCGCGTTGTGCAGCACTTGGACAAGAAAGTTGGTCGCGACTACTGGCAACCGCTATTTATTTCCCTTGACCCACGCCGTGATACGCCAGAAAAGGTGCGAGAGTACTTAGCTGATTTTAGTCCACGTATTCTCGGCCTTGTGGGAACGCAAGAGGAGGTGGAGGCGGCTGCCCGCGAGTATCGTGTGTACTTTGCCATCCCCGATGAAGAGGGCATGAGCGAGGACGACTACCTCGTTGATCACTCCATCATCATGTACCTCATGGACCCGGAGGGCCGTTTCTGCGACTACACCACGAAGGAGTTTCAGTGGTTTGAGAGCTACAGTAAATTGTTGCGCCGCATGATGGACTATGAACGGGAGAAGGTGCGGAAGCAGCGGGAGCGGGGCGGGGAGCTGCAGCCGGGTGAGAGGGCGGCAAACATGAAGGTGGCAAACATCGCGACGATGTTGGATGAGAGTGCGGCGGCGGTGCCCAGCCGTGAGGAGCTGGAGAATGCCAGACCGCAGCAGGCGATGACAATTCGGCGTTGACGATGAACGGTTCGGAACGTGAAAGGGGTGTGTGGGGGGAAAGGAAAGGAAAGAAGGAAAAAAAAAAAAAGAAATGGGGGAAGGGGTCAAAGAGGAAGAGAGGAGGGGTGGGGGAAGAAGACACATGAAGTGGGAGGCGCCGTCATCGTCATTGTCGTCGTTGTCCGATGTTTCTTCGCTGCTGTTTACCACGTGGTGTACTTCTTTGTTTTTATGCGTCTCTTTCTCTCTTTGTGTGTGTGTGTTTGGTGGGTAGCCACTTCCTTTCCCTGTTCTTTGCGTCTGTCCACTCCAATGAACTGCCCCTTCCTTTCTTCCTTTCTTCCTTTTGACTCTCAACACCGGGGTGTTTCTGCCTGCAGGGCTGCCCGGCCCTGGCACATACACCCACTCCCCATTGAAGGGTCATTTTCTCTACGCACACGCTGATAAATAGGGTGTGACACAAGACTTGAAGAGAAAAAAGAAAAAGAAAAGGGAATTGAGAGGGAAAAGGTACTACTACTAATACGAATACTAATAATAGAAAGACAAGACAAGACAAAAGAAAAATAATAATTGAAAACACCAAACCGCGAGAGGGAAAGTAATTTACATCCAATGGTTGCCATTTATAAGCCGGTATCCGATTGCGTCTGGCATCAAATGCCAATGGACGTACGTGAGCGCATACGTGCCTTTCGTGAAAGGGCCGTCTCACGGGAGCGTTTCCATACGAGGAATGTATGGTCCGCGGATTTTATAAATGCGCCACCTCCCGGCATGGAAGGAAGGAAGCCGGGGCTTGTTGCCTTTCAAGAAAGACCAAAGAGGCCAGAGCTTCTTTCTTTGGGTAATGGGCTTAACGATGGGGGCGTGGCAATTGTGCAGCGATCCTCCTCTATGAGTTCCTCAAAGTTTGGCAAGTCGAGGCACTCGCTCCACTTCCGTGGTGAATTGTGGGAGTCGGTGGTGAAGACAAATCAATTTGGCCTAAAGGCTTCTTTCATTACGGATGTTGTGAATGCGACGGGTTTGGACGGGTCACGGATTGAAGACGTTGCCTTTGTACTTACAAATGTGCTTATTGTCACCTTTACCGTGTCACTTCCGGAAAACCCGGAAAGAATGACGGAAGTTCACGCCGCCCTCCAGCGATGTAACTTCCCACGTACAACGGCAATGTACATGAGGCACCGTCTTGCGTTTTTTTAATAACTCAGTCAATTGGTGCGATGCGGCGCTTCAATGAAGTTTGACGGGTCGCATGTGATGTGAAAAATGGGGTGGCAGTAAAAAAAAAAAAAAAAAAGAAAAAAAAAAGGGCTCTTTCTTTCACTTTCCTCCCTTCCCCCGCCCTGCATTATGATGTATACACATATATATACACATATACACACATTTATATACATATCTGTATGAGCGACCGAGTGAGAAGAAAGGAGGGCGTCTATGTGTGTGTGTGTCTTTGCGTGTATCAAATAAAAAAGAAGGAAAAAAAGGGGCGGGGGTATACATCTCCCACAGCTGTTGCAGGCTCTACACACACACACACACACAGAGGGAGAAAAAGAGAGAGAGAGAGAGAGAGAGAGAGAGTTACATATTTATATTAAATACGAATATATATATTATGTGCTACCACTGCTGTATAACGGGTGTTTACTTTGCCAATGTTCCCTTTTTTTTTTTTGTTGTTGTGTGTGTGCGTGTGTGCCTTGTTTGAAGAACCCCGTGAAGTTGCTCTTTGCTTCTGCTGAGTGTGCTGTGCATTTTAAATACGTCATGTGTGGTGATGCTGCGAGAAGGAAGAGGGAAAAGGGCTTCTTTAAATTGCGATCTGAATGTACTTTTATGCGTTTTTTTTTCTTCTTTCTTCTTTTTTCTTCTTCTGTTTTTTCATTGGCTGGGACGCACCTGTTGTTATGTTTTTTTTTTTCTTTTTAAGTTTCTCTCTTTCTTTCTGTCTTATTGCTTCCCGAAATGTGGGTTTATTCTCTTTTTTTTTTTTTTGTTTTCTTTTCTTTTTTTTTTTTTTTTTGCTTGTGCAACTTTTGGGCGGCTCGATTTATGAATTTTTTGCCGCCGCTGGTTCTGCTGCTGCTTGGAGCTCTACGCATTGGGGTCTCCCGGATTTTTTTTTTCCCTCTTTGAGCCCCGGCTGCTTCATGAAAGAAAAAAAAAAAAGTGGGGTGGGGATGTTGCCTGTGTGCTTTTGTATCCTTTTTTTCTTTTCTTTTTTTTTTTTTTTTTACTCTTTTTCCCCTCATTCCTCTCTCTGTCTTTTTCTGTCTTTTTCTGTCTGTATACATGCACACACACACACACACACACACGTGTATATAATATACACACATGTATAGTGTCATTGCATTAATGGAGGCAAAGGTGTAAATACACGAAGGGAGAAAAAGGGATACGATCAGGAAAAAGTGAAAGAAATATTTATTTTTTTCCCTTTGGGGTTTGTTGTTGCGTATGGAGAGGTGCTGGGAAAACGTCAATGTTAGCATGTCTGCAGCGGCTCAGGGCTGGGGACTCGTCGTGCACCCAGCGCATTCACTGGGCCGCAGCAACACGATGAACCCGCTTCTTCCACGGCGCCATTGATCTCCAAAACATCGTCATGCCAACAATTCATTGATGCGTGGGAATGAACAAACCCGCCGTGACCTCAGCCGGTGGTGGTGGGAGGTGGGGACAGCGGGCTGTGCGTGTGTGACATGCCTCCTGTGGGACCTACTCGTTATCTGCAGTGGGCATTGATTGGGATGCAGAAGGAACACAATGAGAAGTGGAAATGGAACCGTGAGGCGATACTTTTTGGAGGAAATTTTTTTTTTTCTTTTTTTTTAATCATGTCGATGCATCTGTGCGTGTTTACATGATGTCTTATCCCCCCTCTTCCCCCCCCTCCCTCACTTCTCCTCCTTTGCTGTTTTTCTTTTGGGCATGCAGTCCCTGCACAGTGAAAGCCAACTGCCTGGGCGAAGAGTCAAGTGAAGAAAAAAAACAAAGACACACCCACACACAGGCAAATAAGCACCTTTTTTTATTTTATTTTATTTTATTTTTTATTTTTTTTTTATTTTTTATTTAAAAAAAAACAAGGATAAATAAGTACGCCCAACAATGACTGTGAAGAATGCGGCAAAAAGTGGCAAATACGTGTGGCACGCGATGCCTGAGGAGGTGCGCAAGAGCCTAAAAAGGGGCTCTGTGGATGAGACAAATGGAATAAAAATGGGCAAAAAGGGCACCCACGCCACGCCTTCCGAGCCAATCTACATGGAGGTGCCGCCGGATGAAACGCAGCGGAAGGAAAAATCACCACCGCGCGGAATGGCGCTTCCTCATGTATCCACGCCGAATGAAAAGCAGCCAACGCCCATGCCGGGGGAGACGACGAACTCGGGCGACGTGGTTGTTTCGCAAGAATCGGGATGTGTTGGGGTGACGCATGGGACCCAGTCATTGTCGTCTTCACGGACTTTAAAGACGAAGCACGTTCTCCACTTCCGCGGTCCCGGGTGGGAGAAAGTTTTGAGGAAAAACAAAAAGGGGCTCGAAAGCGCCTTTAAGAAGGACGTTTTTGAAGCAACTGGTCTGGAGGCAAGACGTATTGAAGAACTAAAATTTGAGTTTGCAAGCATGCTTATTGTAACATTTGTGGTGCGTCGCGAGAACGATGATGAGGGAACGAGTAAGCTACACAGTGATCTACAGGCATGCGCATTCCCACGTACCGTTTTATTATATAGGAATTAGCCAAGTTTCTTTTTTTTTTTTTTTTTTTTCTTCTTTTTTTCTTTATTATTATGCGCGTACGTAGCACTGGCAATAGGAACACAAATAAAGGTTTATACTGGTTGTCCCAGCCAGTATTCCCGGAAAATTGATATATATATATATATATATAGTATATATATGTGTGTATGTGTCTATGCATTGTATATATATATATATATAAATAGGGCAAAAGAGGCACGGACACACACACACAG